ATCTTATTCTTAGAATAACTCGTCAGTTAATCGAGAGTAAATCAATTTTACGTTTTACCAACTACAATTCTAAGAATAGTGGGCCTATTCGGGAATTGTTACTATACCGCCGTTTCGCACGGAATAACGGAGCTATTCCTAGAATAAAGTAATGGCGTCTGTCAGTCCAACATCTGATTTCTGTCATTTCATAAATATTTATTCTGTTTTAATTTCAAGTCAACGCAATGCACTAAATGATTATTAATAGTCTGAATGCAACGTTTAAACGAAAAAAGATAAAACCACACGACAAAACTTGACAATTCCCTCAAACAAACAAGAAATAAAAATAATACGTTTGACAGCTGGATATCTTACACAACAGCTACTTTTTCACACTAAAATACGGCAAAATCGAGTTGACGATTTGTATGCTCTTACACTATGCCGTTGAACAACAACATTTATTTGCCGGATTTTATTTTTGTTCACCATTCACTCTGCTATTCGCGTATTGTTATTCCTAGCGCAAGTATACGTGGAAAAACGACTATGAATTTACTCGAGATTAAAATCATGGAATAGGTTATTCCTCGTATAGTTACTCGAGTTTAAATTTAAGTTTGGTCGAATCCACCCTAAAAGGCATATTTTGATTACTTTTGGCATAATGGTAATAATAAGACTACAGAGACGGTAGACTATCGCCTAGACGATGTCGGGCGTCCTAGGGATAGCGCCGCGAGTCTGGTTGTAGTGTTGTGCGCGGAAGTTCCCCTACTCTGCCCCAATTCTGACACCAATAACATAGTCTCATCGGTCAGTCAGTCATGGTCATAATAAAAATTAAGCCCGCAAAATTATAATTTGTGTAATTACTGGTGGTAGGACCTCTTGTGAGTCCGCACGGGTAGGTACCACCACCCTGCCTATTTCTGCCGTGAAGCAGTAATGCGTTTCCGTTTGAAAAGTGGGGCAGCCGTTGTAACTATACTGAGACCTTGGACTGATAACTCAAGGTTGGTGGCGCATTTACGTCATAGATGTCTATGGGCTCCAGTAACCACTTAACACCAGGTGGGCTGTGAGCTCGTCTACCAATCTAAGCAATAAAAAAAACATAGTTTTGAATGATATTTCAATTATAAACCTTATTATATTTCTGATTTTTATGCGTGCATGATGAAAGATCATGCGGAATTCCGTCTCGTTGCTAATTATCATCTTTAATTTGATATTACTCAACATCTACCATTCAGAAGCTCTCTCTCAAAATTTAAATAAATTGCTAACAATCTGTCAGCCGTAGGTGCTCACTACTTAATGGTTCTTTGCTAGATTGTGCTCACAGTTTTGCGTCATGCGCCCTTATATATTCATAGGTGAGTATCGCGCAATTTGCTATTGAATGGCTCTTATTCGTTCTAGATTGAACTCATAGGGCGACTTTACCATAAAGTACATATTAGGCACTAAGTCTTTAGAATATTCAATAAAACAGTTTAGTTATATGGGTGGCAGGTGAAAAAGTTAACATATTTATGGCGTTGCTTCGTACCGGTTCTTTTTAAATAAACAAGTTGTCCCCTGGTAGTCGAAACTCGACTATAACTAATGGAATTTATAAGTTTGTACACTATTATAATTCTATTGTCAAGGACTATTAAACTTCTTTACTCACAGATTTCGTCAAGACTACACTTCAGACAAATATTAATAAAGAGAAAACAATATTTAATCTATTCTCAATTTGACAGACTATAACTGACAAACTGCAAAGAAAAGTTTGACAATAAACAAAAAGTATGCATGCGTGTGTGTGTCAAATACATGGTAGTGTGTGTAATGTTTTTATTTATTGATTTAATGTATCTTTTATGCATTATTTTAAAAAAATATTAGCATTGTGCACTTCTTTTCTATAATCTCTATAAGTGTGGAAAATTTCATACTTCTCCGTCCGTGCAATTTTCGTAAAAAGGGATCCAAATTTTTTGCTTCACGTATTAATATATAGACTATTTATCTAATAAGTACTGATGAGTGAATTCCACGGTGAAGGAATCATACGAAACCCTGAAATTTACAAATTTTTGCAATTAATGCCCTCTGTTTTTAGGTGATGGTTCTTTGTTGTAACATTCGAAGGTTAGGTTATGTAATTATTGGAGAAACCCATTTCCGAGAAAGAAACGTCTTCCGATATCATATTCGATTCTAAATGTTTTCTTCTGAGCCTACAGTGTTTTTTTTTTCATATTGTTATGTCATTTAGTCATTTTCGTAAATCAGCTCATAAACACGATTGCCACCACGGACCCCGAGACGTGAAGTGGAAGCCGATGACTTAATCTGTATGGAATAGTTAAATAAGAGCTCCTATATCTGCTTATCTACTAATAAATCTGCTTCTTGACCTTTTTTTTCTTATTTTATTAATGTTAATTGTGTTTAAGTGTGCAATAAAGTATCTGCCGTCAAATACCAATTTATAAATTATACAATTTTCATTTTTACCACAGATATTATTTGTCTATGATGAATTCACTAGTAAACACGTAGTAGGTACATGTTTTATTAGAAAAATAGGTACCCGTCTGCTTGATTAAATACCGACAAAGTTGCATCCCTTACTACCAGCAAACCTTGCATCTTATACTCGAAGTGGTATTTTTTTTATTGCTTAGTTGGGTGGACCTATCACGACGCACCTATAGACATCTACAACATAAATGCCGCCATCCACCTTGAGATATGAGTTCTAAGGTCTCAGTTTTTACAGTACAACGGCTGCTCCACCCTTCAAACCGAAACGCATTACTGCTTCATCGCTTAAATCGGCAGGGTGGTGTTACCTACCCATGCGGACTCACAAGACGTCGTACCACCAGTAATTACGCAAATTATAGTTTTTCGGGTTATGTTATTGGATGCCACGTGGAAGTCAATCGGGAACATTTTGTTAAATACGTATTTTATTAGAAAAATTGGTAGTTGCCAGCGAGATTCGAACACCGGTGCATCGCTAGGTACGAATGCACCGGACGTCTTATCCTTTAGGCCACGACGACTTCATAGTATTTACTATCCTACGATTCATTAGTTTTGTGATCCAAGATCATTTATATTAAAAAACACTAGACTATTATCAGTCGCATACAATATTGCACGTAATGCAACAATCGCAGCGTTACATATGGTTATGATAATTTGCTCAGCTGTTGTATGGTAATTCAATTTATCTAACACCGGAAACGGAGAGTTTCTTTAGTGTTGTGCCAACAATTCTTGCATCTAAAGACATTTTCAATGGCCAGTGATGGTCACTGAGCATAGTAATTATGCTCGTTTTTTATTTTTAACTGGCTGATGTTAATTTCCATAACTGAGTACAGTATAATACGCGGCGTAGCGTGCCGTGCGAGTGATGTAGTGATGGGAACTATCGATGTCACTTCCGGAAGTTTAGTGAAATGGTTTTTGTTAAGTTATTTAATGGCATAATTATTTGTTTATCTTAATTGATTGTAGAATATAGTTCTTTATATATAATATAACTCTTTGCTTTTTAATACGCTTTTATTAGCTTCAGACGTATGTATGTTTGTAACGGAATCTTTGAACATGATTTTGACCCCCTTCAAAACGTCGGATTAACTCGAAATTTGCCATACTTATTAAGGACCGACAAATAAATATTACAAGAAAAAAATGACAAAAAATATAATTGAAAAAAATGAAATTCAACTAAAAAATGAAAAATAAATAATTGTTTAAAAAAACTTTTCTTTTCAGGATATTATCAAAATAACCCTTCTACTCATATATGTTCATAAAATATTTATAACTACTGATACCGTGCACCTCACGCTTTCTTTACAATAAAATCATTTTTTCTTACACTATTTTTAATTCTAATTGTTGGATTTTCGATAAAAGCGTATTTTTTTAGTTTTTTTAAACTACTATTTATTACTCCTAATTTGTTTGGCTTGATTGGCATTAGATAATTTGCGACAAAAATAATAATTTCTAAGCTTAGTTTTGTTCTTAGTGATTTTAAATGAATTGCATTACTTACGTGAATCACGAAAGGGTTTAATGGACTGGTCGAACGGCTCGCGAGGGTACAGACCTCACACGAACAAAGCATTCGTTTAATCAAAGACGGTATTGTGATGTAATTGTCTGCCGTTTCACGATATGTTCGAATATACCATTAAAAAAAAATTAATGTGTTCAAAACCCTAAATCGATTGATGAAATCGTTCGTTTATTTAATACACCAATTAAATTTTTAAGCTATTGCATAAATTTTATCGCGGGGTGTGAGGGTGGCGACCGAATCAAGAAATTCCGTAACGAAAATAAAACCGAACACCCCCCACTCCGCCTATCATGTAGCTCACGTTCAACACATTCACACGTTGCGCTTGTGTAGTGTTTGTGAATAAGCGCGCGGCGTCACGTCGCACTGCATGCGCATGATGCGAAAAGTCTGCCCATCTCTCTCTCGCGCGGTCTAGCTTTTGAATGTGAGGGGGACAGTTAATTTTTTGCTTTGTTAATGTTTATAAATATAGCGTGATCTTATTTTATTATTGTTTTAATATTAAATTATTATTGTCTAATTATAATTGCATAAGTTGATACGCAATTGTTTTACTGCGGCAGTCGCCGAGTGCCACACGTGCTTTTTTTTACAAAATTTATATCTGTTTGAGAGCATAAACAACATAGCTAAGTAAGATTTTCTTCTTATTGTTTTTTGTTTGATACCCATTAACTATCTAGCTGTTTTTTCTCAGTAACAAGTGAATTACAAAAATGAACCTAGACCATCAAGTATTAGTGATTATGGTCGATTTTTGATAAATTGAACGAACACTAGTTACATGAAACTGCGCTACTTATTCTATCGATAAATGAACACGGCAAAACTATTATATGTCTATCGACACAACAGCTGCTGCACTATTCGTTCACCTTCCTTGACTCGACTTCAGTTTAACGAGTAGAACGCATGCGCGCGATCGTCTCTTATTTATCTTTTTTACAATATTATTTCGCGGTTTCTCGAAATATAGATAATTAAAATTTATATGGCAGTTGTGACACGACCGTGCGGTGACTTCGGTTGGATACGTAACAGCGCCTGCAGGAAGGGCACATCGCGAAATGGCTGGGTAAAGACATCGTGTTTGTTAATTTTAACATTGACCTTGTTATGTTTACGGCTTGAATCAGAATCTGTGACTTCTAAGGCTATTTTGTTAATTTATTATCACGTTTCATTGAAAATTATTTGAACATTTTTAATCAATGAAGATTTATTCAGATTTAATAAGCAGTTAATTATAAATGTTTCAGTGATGAGTGCTACCGTATTTTACGCTATTTCTTTAACAACACAACTGACAATGACGACACATAAAAACCAAAATACTTCCAATTCATAAAATGTACATTCTTGAAATTCTTAAAACAACATTGGATAGTGGCATTCGGTTTGTTTACGTAACAAATTATTTAGTGTTTTGCTGCTATGTGTGTGTATCCAGCAAACAGAACGTGACTTCTCATATGAAAGAGCTCGATTCTTCTCCATCAAACTATAAAAACTAAATTGTGTGTCGTTATATAAAATAATTCACAGTAAAATGTGAGTTACATGTACCCTTACTTTGTATATCATACGTAGACGACAATAGATTCCGTCTGGTGGTTAATGATAGAGCACGCATTGCTTGGATACGTAATCGAGTTCAGAGCTCATCTAGAGTTAAGTAGCTATCGGACTTCACTGATATCATAATGTGAGCGTCACTTGCTACTTTGAGACATTTTACATTTACTCGTCGTGGCCTTAAGGATAAGACGTCCGGTGCATTCGTTGTTGCAATGCACCGGTGTTCGAATCCCGCGGGCGGGTACCAATTTTTCGAATGAAATACGTACTTAACAAATGTTCACGATTGACTTCCACGGTGAAGGAATAACATCGTGTAATAAAAATCAAACCCGCAAAATTATAATTTGCGTAACCACTGGTGGTAGGACCTATTGTGAGTCCGCACGGGTAGGTACCACCGCCCTGCCTATTTCTGCCGTGAAGCAGTAATGCGTTTCGGTTTGAAGGGTGGGGTAGCCGTTGTAACTATACTGAGACCTTAGAACTTATATCTCAAGGTGGGTGGCGCATTTACGTTGTAGATGTCTATGGGCTCCAGTAACCACTTAACACCAGGTGGGCTGTGAGCTCGTCCACCCATCNAAAAAAAAAAGACATGACATATGACATTTTATCCGCACGGCTAGGTACCACCGCCCCGCCTATTTCTGCCGTGAAGCAGTAATGCGTTTCGGTTTGAAGGGTGGGGCAGTCGTTGTAACTATACTGAGACCTTAGAACTTATATCGCATGGTGTGTAGCGCATTTACGTTGTAGATGTCTATGGGCTCCAGTAACCACTTAACACCAGGTGGGCTGTGAGCTCGTCCACACATCTAAGCAATAAAAAAAATGGTCGAAGTTACAATGACATAACGGCGCCCCCCTTCAAATCTGAATCCTAGAAAATTTTCCGAGAATAAAGTAATGGCGAAGCGAAGTCAGCAATGAAGTCATTCGGGAATACGTGTTAAGTACGTACTTCCTTAGAAAAATTGGTACCTGCATCCGGAATTTGAATGAGTACACTAAGAGTGAGGGCTTGCTACGAGCACCACGGCCGTCTTATGCTTTAGTCCAGGACGAAAACCAGCTTATACCAGTCAACCCCCATTTATGATAGATCCCACAACATGAACGCTGTCCGTCTCCAAATATACGATTGAAGGGTCAATTAAATTTATACAACCGCCTTGGCCTTTGAACCCCAGAGCAAGATTAGTCCGCCGAAGTCGACAAAATGCCCCTCAGCCATATTTTCAATTTCCCATTTCAACCTTCTACGCTTTTAAAATGCTTCTAGTATTTTTAGCGTAATAAAATATCAAATGCAAAAGGAAATACCCCATCAAAAACAGTATAAATGTTTAAAAATAGAATCAATTAATGTATAATTACTTCTCGGTTTATTTACATTTTTTTAAGTACGTAACTCTATCACTATAACAATTAATTGTGAAATGAAAAATTTACGTAACCGCTCACTTAGACGTGTTCATGGTAAAGTGCATTAATTATGTCATAAAATTTTATCTAGGTTAAAATNGGAAATACCTCATCAAAAACAGTATAAATGTTTAAAAATAGAATCAATTAATGTATAATTACTTCTCGGTTTATTTACATTTTTTTAAGTACGTAACTCTATCACTATAACAATTAATTGTGAAATGAAAAATTTACGTAACCGCTCACTTAGACGTGTTCATGGTAAAGTGCATTAATTATGTCATAAAATTTTATCTAGGTTAAAATTACACTGTATGAAATTTGAAAAAAAAAAATGCAACCGACCACTAATTTCATTATTTAGGTAATTCATTCACTGTTTTTTTTTAGAGTTTATAGAGTTTTCGTTTTTATAGAGTACTAGCTGACCCGGCAAACATTGTTTTGCCATATATAAGATTTCTAGGGAATTTCTAGTGTAGAAAAAAATACTACCTTATTGTAAATGTGTAAGGATGTGCGAAATGAGTGAAAGAGGTATGTAGTGCTGTGAACGATGAGGGAATATATAATAAAAATAACAAAACCTCATTCAACCACATAATATCTAATTATAAAAAAAAAAAATCCAAATAAATAAAAAAATGTTAGGGGTGGGCAACCCTAATCATTTACGGGTATGAAAAATAGATAGTAGCCGATTCTCAGGCTTACTGAATATGCATAAAAAATTTCATGAGAATCGGTCAAGCGGTTTCGGAGGAGTATGGGAACGAACATTGTGACACGAGAATTTTATATATTAGATATTAGTTAAGCTACACGTCTTAAATATGAAATTTTCAAACTTTTTTATTAACAAATATTTAAAAAATATGTACTGGATCGAACTGCGATCCTAAGCCAATCTCTAATCCACTATAACACACACAAAAAAATCATTAAATCAATTCAGCTGCTTAAAAGCAGTTCAGTCATATATAACGCATAGCAGAATTAGGTCTAGACCGAACGCATATAGCACTAGTTTTACGGACGTTTCTTATATATCGTCTTTTTTTTTATTGCTTAGATGGGTGGACGAGCTTATAGCCCACCTGGTGCTTAGTGGTTACTGGAGCCCATAGACATCTACAACGTAAATGCGCCACCCACCTTGAGATATAAGTTTTAAGTTCAAACCGAAACTCATTACTGCTTCACGGCAGAAATAGGCAGGGTGGTGGTATCTACCCGCGGGGACTCACAAGAGGTCCTACCACTGAATTTATCTATCTATCTCTACGGCACCCGTCAAATTGACGGGTGAATAAAAAAACGCATTTTCTTTAAAAAGCCGATTTATTCAAGCTAACTCCAAATTGCACAATATTAGCCTTTACTTTTAAATAAAGTATCAAGAGCTTTAAACGTCCAAGCATTTAGTGGCTTACTGTTTTGGACTTATCAGGATAACAGCTTAAGCAATTAACACGAATTCACTATTTTTAAACATATTAACAGATAAAGAAATAGACTTTTAGAATTTTAACTACATCATCAAGGCTTGATAATAATGTTTTCAAAAGCAAAAACAGGGAAAAACCAACCAAAAAATCTGTTTCGAACATGCTTAGAATACTAATCTTGAAATCAGAACAATAACGTCAAAAGTGCCAATTATTTAAAAATATTAAACTTCCTTACTTCAAGGGCTAGTATGTATTCTTTCCAAGTTAATGCAACATAATTTGAAAACAGCTGACGTGCGGATTCTCAGATCGCATTAAATTGCGGCATTGCTAGGAGCTGTTGTCAGTCCGTACGGGTAGGTACTACCACCCTGCTTATTTTAGACCTGAAGCAGTAATGCGTTTCGGCTTCAAGGGTGGGGCAGCCGTTGTAACTATACTGAGACCTTAGAATTCATGTCTCAAGGTGGGTGGCGGCATTTAGTCTATGGGCTCCCGTAACCACTTAACACCAGGTGGACTGTGAGCTCGTCCACCCATCTATGCAATACATAAAATAGTAGCATACATTATTTTTGGCTTACCTTAGTTGAGAAGTATAATATTATTGCTTTTTCTGCTTCGGCTACGTTCTCCATATCACGTCCAATCCATGAGTATCCAATGAGTCATTAGTAGTTTTGTGAAGTTATCATGGCCTAAATCGTATCGAACGATGCGACTAGGTCGGTATTTAAATTCCGTTGGCAATTACCAATTTTACTAAGGAAATTCCTTTTTAAGTCTGCACCCATGAACGACTGACACATAAAGGAGCATTTACTTTGGATTGGATTGGATTCGATAGATCGGTATGGTCTATTGTAAGCCTGTACCCATCCGCTTTGCTGGGCATTTAAAATTAACATTATTATTTCCCACCCCCACAAAGATTCACATCATTAACGCCCCGCAACTGGTGTAGCGGGGCTAAACTCATAAACATATTAGCCTATACATTAAGTACATGTATTTTCTACATGGATACAAAGTTTCAAGTCAATCGGATGTATGGTTCAGTAGTTATAACGGAACATCCGTAAAAACCGCTGTAGATTATATTAGTATAGACTAGATACTACCTTAAATTTCTCTGTGAGCGGCCGGAGTTTTTGTTGAGGTTCAATGAATGTTTTAAAATTAATTGAGAAGAGATGCCCAAGAAGTAGGGTCTTTTTTATAATAAATAGTATAGTGTAACCATAACGGCTGTTGCACCCTTCAAAATTAGAACGCATGACTGCTTCGAGCAGAGACAGGTAGGGTACTAGTTTTGGATGGTTTATGGAATTATAAATGATCCGTGCAGTACAGACGTGTTAGCGATCTTTCCAAAAACATTCATTTCACCGACAAACCATTTTAAACTCAAGCAACATATGCTCTTGATTACAATTTGCCGTGAAGTGCAGTGCGAGAAAAATAAAATTTATTTAACTTATTTTAAAACCGCTACTATTACAATTTCGACCATAACAGTTTAAGCAGTGACTACAAATTCGCCTGACCTCTTCGTGCACCTTACAACAAAGTCACTAATTGAGCCACGGATCTACAATGAGCGTACTACGCTCAC